TGTCTGTATACTTTGTCTGGGAATAGAGGTTTGGGCTTGATGAGGCAAGAATTCAGTGGCCTGTACGTTAAATCTTGCTGTAGGGTTTCTGTAGTAAGAGCTCATCCCATCTGATGCTCTAGAGGTGTGTCTTGATCCCATGCTGAGCACGTTTAGCCTGGCATTGGCTTCTGCCAGCTTAGTTTGTATATCCAGTTGTTCCTTTTTCCGTTTCACCTGTTCTTCCTGTTGTTCCAACTGTTGTTCCTGTTGTTCCAACTGTTGTTGTTGTTTCTGTTGTTCCAACTGTTGTTCCAACTGTTGTTCCAACTGTTGTTCCAACTGTTGTTTCAACTGTTCTTCCTGTTGTTCCAACTGTTCTTCCAACTGTTGTTTCTGTTGTTGTTTCTGTTGTTCCAACTGTTGTTTCTGTTGTTCCAACTGTTGTTTCTGTTGTTCCAACTGTTGTTCCAACTGTTGTTCCAACTGTTGTTTCTGGTGTTTTAATTGTTCCCCTTCTACATCAAGCTCATGTTGACTGTTCAGTGCTGCCGCCCTTTCGATTAAAGCCGCCCTTTCTGCCTGGGCTTTAATTCGAGCAGAAGAGGTAGATGATGCGTGTGATGAACCAGGTTTGTATTTTGACTGAGGGTGTGATGCCTTTGAAATGCTGTCATCAGGTCCGATGTCATCTGAGCTGACACTTTGTTCTATTGCACTTCCCACAATAGAGTGTCTAATTGCCTGTCCACTCTCAGATAACCACACATTTGCATCTTGTATAAATCCATCAAATATATGCATCTTTTCAGCCACTGCCTTTGCTTTCCCATTTCTTCTTCAGGCAGTTGAAGGTCAGTTAATGATTTGTGATTTTCTTTTAGTTCATCACACAACTTCTTAAATTCAACCAGTTTCAATTGTATTTCCTTTGCATTGTCTTCTGAGCTCATAAGCTCTTTCAGTACTTCCATTAACTTCTTTACTTGTTTGTAACTGAAGTTTCTTGCTTTTTTGGCAGTTTGCAATAAACAATTCCAATCCTTTGGCAGTGTGAGTGATAATCCTTTTTTCTCTCACAGATTGCAGTCCAACAGCGCCATCTTGTGACGTGACGTCAGATGTCACAGACATGATTAATGTTCACTGTCCCTTTAAGTTTCGTTCTCAGGAATTGTCCGTTAGCTGACAGCGCGCTGTTTCAAACAGCTGACAATGTTGCAGCACCACATCCATTTACTAAGCCATTGTCCAATACAGCTTAATATCTCTTTTACAATCTACTTATCACGCTGCACGGTGCACACGCCCGGCCGCTTTCCCAGTCCTCTCTCAGCCTCTTCGGTCCTCTCAGGTGGGAACAATCTCCAGCTGATTGTGGCGTGTGCAGCTGATCCGTGATGAGAAGTCGATGGTGCAATAATCCAATTATTTGTTTTCCCCGAAAACGATCCTTAATCCAATTTGAAGTGAATCCAATTGTCCAGTTTCACTCAAAAGTGCGATTCCACTTAATGTAATGGCAATTTCCTTTTCCTATGTCCTATATATTTTTGCCGTTACTTTCACAGAAGGGTTGAAAAGTGATCCAGACGCAGACACAAACAGATGATTTTCCGGTCCTTAGTTGTGGTTTATGATGATGTTTATTCGTCTTTACATACCAGGGTTAATTTAGCGTTCTAGTGATTCTATGAGCATCTGCCGGGCTGGTGGAATCGGTATGCTCTTCTCCTACTGTGTCCACCCATCTCCTGTCACCTATGACCTCCTTATATACACCCGGTGCAGCTAAACCCCGCCACCCAGTGTTCATAAATAATATTGCGCTATACATATAACTTAAATAAACTGACACACCAACATCACCCACAAAATGGCTCCTACACTGTGTGAATTAAAATAGTTGTTGTATTACTACATCATACATGCTTGGTCCAAATCTCTGCTAAAATTATTATTTTTAACAAAATTATCATTAAAGTATCTTTATTTATTTTTAAATTTGTATCACACTTGGCATAAACTATTTTAGTTCATCAATTAGAACTGGAGAATTAAAATAATGATTTGTGGTAATCAAAAACAATGTATTTAAAGAAACACTAGGAATAACATCGGAAATAATGATAATTTGTTACCCATGTTGTGCCTTAGAAGTGTAGTGATATAAACATGATTTTTATTTAAAAAAGTAAGAAAGTTCAAATGAAAATTAGAATTGGTGTTGATCAAAAACAGGTTAATTGAGGAATTCCTGGAGGTAATTTATTGCAAAGATATTTACAATTTAAACTAATTCGGGTCACTTTTGACGCATGTTGGTTGTATGTTGTGTAACAAAGGGTTACCATGACAGCTGTGATGTTCACTCTTTTGACAGAGCACCAGTGGACAGTGAAAACTATGGAACAGAACATGTGATGGCTTTGTGTGGAAAGCTGCTGAAGCCAGCCGGTGACTCCTCATCAGTCTCTCCAGGCAGCACCCAGCTATTCTTCCATCTTGTAGATGAAAAGACTTTGATATGTGAGTAATAACTAACTTGTCTCTAACATAATATTGAATGTCAGTGTTTCCCCTAGGTTTACTGCTGATATATTCTTTAAATCCTCTGGAGCAGAGAGAGGAGCTGTGGATTATTGTTATTGATTAATGCATCAGTGTTTCTTAGGGTCAAAAACACTAAACTCAACTTAAAATGAAAGCGTTTAGTTTATTTAATAAAAGAGCTCATGTTCAATATGAAAAGTGACCGTAGATATAGATTAGTTGCAATTTGGTGCTATATATATTTAAAAAAAAAAAAAAATACTAAAATATATATGGTTAGGGTTAACCCTATCCAGTGGTTAGTTTTAGGGTAAGCTCCACTGTTTTTTTATTTTATGTATTCACTTTAAGAGAAAGGGATTTCAGAAACAAGTCGCACAAGTTTGGCTCGAGGTAAAATTAACAAAAGGTAACTGTTGTTACCCCTTCTAAACTTATGAAATAATGAGAAAAATATGAATGACTCTTCATAGAGCCACGTCCACACAGCTTTAAAGTTGTAGGAAGCTGAAGCATTACATTCGTGCCAATGGCTAGTTGTCGTTTCTAAGGTATTAGAAAGTTGGTGTTCTGGAAGGTTTAGCATAGGATCAATGCCCTTGGGATGCTCTCAATAACTGTTTTACAATTTATGTGTGTGTATGTGTTTTGTGTAACCCTGCTTCAAAGGTCCATCATACAAGATGTAGGGGATCTATTGGCAGCTGCTGATAATAACATCCATCATTATGGTTTACTAATAGTTATCACTTCCTCCTCCAGCACCTGGACACAGCAGGAACCTACGCCAGGATCCTGTTTGTGGTCTTCAGCTCCGCCTTCAACACCATCATCCCGGCTCTGCTGCAGGACAAGCTCTCCCAGCTGCACGTGCCCGTCTCCACCTGCAGGTGGATCACAGACTTCCTGTCTGACAGGAAGCAGCACGTGAGGCTGGGGAAACACCTCTCTGACTCCCGGACCATCAGCATCGATTCCCCTCAAGGCTGCGTTCTTTCCCCTCTGCTCTTCTCCCTGTACACCAACAGCTGCACCTCCAGTCACCAGTCTGTCAAGCTGCTGAAGTTCAGACGACACCACCCTCATCGGACTCATCTCTGGTGGGGACGAGTCTGCCTACAGGTGGGAGATGGACCATCTGGTGACCTGGTGTGGGGAAAACCACCTGGAGCTCAACGCTCTCAAGGCAGTGGAGATGGTTGTGGACTTTAGGAAGAACGCAGCCCCACCCACCCCCATCACTCTGTGTGACTCCCCAGTCACTGCTGTGGAATCTTTCTGCTTCCTGGGCACCATCATCGCCCAGGACCTCAAACGGGAGCAAAACATCTGCTCCCTCACCAAAAAAGCACAGCCGAGGATACTCCATCACCATCTGGTACGCTGCAGCCACAGCCCAGGATAAGGGCAGGCTGCAGCGTGTCATCCGCTCTGCAGAGAAGGTGATCGGCTGTAATCTGCCATCCCTCCACGACCTGCATGCCTCCAGAACCCTGAGGCGGGAAGATAGTGGCCGACCCCTCCCACCCTGGACACAAACTGTTCACCCCCTCCCCTCCGCGCTCCATCAGGACCAGAACCTCTCTCCATCAGGACCAGAACCTCTCTCCATCAGGACCAGAACCTCTCTCCATCAGGACCAGAACCTCTCTCCATCAGGACCAAAACCTCTCTCCATCAGGACCAAAACCTCTCTCCATCAGGACCAGAACCTCTCTCCATCAGGACCAAAACCTCTCTCCATCAGGACCAAAACCTCTCTCCATCAGGACCAGAACCTCTCTCCATCAGGACCAGAACCTCTCTCCATCAGGACCAAAACCTCTCTCCATCAGGACCAGAACCTCTCTCCATCAGGACCAGAACCTCTCTCCATCAGGACCAAAACCTCTCTCCATCAGGACCAAAACCTCTCTCCATCAGGACCAAAACCAGGGCTGCACATAACTGGTGCGCATGCGCACCTCCGCCAAAAAAAGAGCACCGGGTCATTTGAAAAAAGGCGCATTTGCGTACCAACATTGAGAGAGAGGGAAAGAGAGAAGAGAGAAGAGGAGAGAGAGAGAAAGATATTTGCGAGTTGCATATGAACTCAGGGCCGGCCCGTAGCACTGGCGTTATAGATGTTCGCCTAGGGCGCCAGATCTGTGGAGGCGCTGCGCTGGCAGTTCTGGGAGGGAAAAAAACATTTTTGACCGTTGGGGCTCATCCTAATTTTCGGCCTTGATGTAACGATATTCACAATTAAGTAAATGTAACACCCTTTTCACCTCGGTTACACGTTTCATTTGCCCTGTACGATGGGCGCTGTAAGTGATGAAAATGGGGGATGTTGGCTTATCTGGCGCCCGCAGCTCACAGCCAAAGTGCGAGTGAGCGAGGGAAAAAAAAAATGAACGCCACTAATTATTTTAACGCGATTTAAGGCATGTGCATTTTTTTCCTCGGCCGCCCCGTAGTTTCAGAGCGCATCGAGTTTAAAATACCGTCTACAAGCTGATGCTGACAGCCCCGCTCCTGCTGCCTGCTTGCGGCAGACCACACTTCCACGCTCACCGGCAGGCACCGACTGGCCATCGGGAGGACCGGGAGGGCGAGCACTTGACTTCTTCCTCCACCACTGGTCATTTCTTTAAAGAATGTAATAAAGCTCAAACTCAATAAAACCAAAACAGGAACATTTTCATGTAAATGTAATTAAGCTTCCTAAAAATTGAATTAAATCCATTCATGTTTTTGAGTAATTTACAGAAAAGTTCCTTCCTCTTTTGGCCCTTTTTTCTAGTCAAGTGTAAATCTGTGGCTCCTCAAAGCGGTGCTTAGTTTCCCTTGTCATTCTAAGACTGCAGTGTTTCCCCTATATACAAATATAGAAATTGGACCTAAAAAGTGAGATATTTTATAGGAAAATCTGCAATTATTCTTCAGCATTAACTCCAAAGAAGAGTTAACGACATTGATCGACAGAAAACAGAGGAAGAAACGCAATTTTTGGATGTATTTTTGAGTTGAAACTACTAACTAGCTTCCAACTGACAACTGTCTAGCTGTGGGCTGCCAGCTGTTACCTGCCACTGTTGGAAGGAGCTGCACCGAAGAAGGTAGCGGAACATTATAAACTGTGAATTATTTCATGAAGATAAGAAGAAAGGGAAAGAAAAGTATTCGTAAGTTAGAAAAGCTAATTAATTAGCCTAGCATATCTTTGGAACAAAACAAGTGGTCGCCATGGAAACTGTCCAGCATGCAAAAAAGAACTTCTCAGCTCTCAGAGCAGAGGGAAGAGAGATTGATTATCCTGCTAAATGCAAAGGACAAACACAAGGAGAAGACACTGTGTGGAAACCCAGAGGTCCTCTTCACTGACTATGCCCAACAAAAAGAAGGAAGGAAGAAGAACAACCTCATATTCTTCACTGACTCCATCTACATCTGGAAAGATACTCTGTGCAGCAAGTATGCATACGTATCCAGAGAGGGCATCGGCTCAGGAGGCAGATTACAAATCTGTAAAGATGAACACCTTGACAAAGATGACCCTCTGCTCACCATCACATACTACACCAAAGGAAAGGTCATGGTCCAAGGGAATGAAGCCAACCTGGAGTCCTTCCAAGAGGCATTCCCCCTGCTGAAAGCTGAGGTGGACACAAAGAGGATCAATGTCCCCTCTGATGTCCCCTCTGATGTCCCGTCTGATGTCCCCTCTGATGTCCCCTCTGATGTCCCCTCTGATGTCCCCTCTGACAGCGAAGGTGATGAGAGCCCAATAGAGAACCCCAACACCTTGTCCATCTCTGCCCCTCCCACACCGGCCAGCTCCAACAATCGGCTGAAGGAGAGTATGGCCCTGCTGGAGCTGGACTTTGCAGAATTCAAAGAGCGGACCCAGGCCAGGCAGTCTGGTCCCCCAGACAACACTCTGCAGCAGCTTAAAGAGGACCTCCAGCAGCTCAAGAGCGACAACGAGGCCTTGGCATCTGACCTCAGAGGAAGTGTAGAGGCAAACAGGAGAACAGTGTGCTCCGTGTTCAGTTAGCCAAGGTGAGGGAGGATGCTGAGTGTAGAGAGAAGAGCTTCACCAGGCAGGTCCAGCACCTGACAGAGAAACTCTCATCAGTCCTCAAAATGACGAGTAGAGAGACACAGACTCTCCCTGCCAGTGTCCCTGGCCCACCCTCTCTGCTCAGCACCCAGCCCAACAACACCCTGGCCCCTCCTGATACACCCACACAGCCAGCTGCCCACAGCCAGCTCTGCGCATCCCAGCCTCCCTCTACTCAGCCTGAAGAACAAGACCCACAAGTGGTCCTGCTGGCTGACTCAAACGGGAAGTTCCTGGACCCAAGAAAGCTTTTTCCTGATGAAAAGGTGCTGTCTAAACACTGCAGCACCACAGGCCATGAAGCTGTTGAAAAAGGAGACCCTCAGGAGCCCTCAGTACCTGGTGATCCACACGGGAACAAATGACCTGCACACCCTCCGTAGGGACACTGCTGAGGCAGTGAGGAAAATGGCGAAGCAGGCCAGTAAGGAATTCCCCGACACCCGCATTGTGGTCTCCACCCTGCTGCCTAGGACAGACACCCCTCCTCATGTCATCCATGACATTAATATGGAGATCAGAAAAGGATGTGCCACCTTACCAAATGTCCACCTGGCCCTCCACTCAACCATTGGCCCCTGGGACCTCTATGATGGACTCCACCTACACAGAGAGAGGGTGGGTATATTTGCAAAGACCCTCAAAGATGCAGCCCTGGGACGCACCCCTCCCACCCCCTCCTCTAGAGGCCCTATAGACCCTCCCAGACCGCTTCCTCCCCATCACCACCCCAGGATCACCACCCCTGCTGTGAGGAGACACAACAGCTCAGCCTGGACCTCCCACTCCCCACGCCCCCAACACACCCAGAGGAGGCTACTTTCCCCCAGCTCACCCCCTGCACACCATCAGCAGCAGAGATATGCAGCAACAGCTGCTCCTCGTCTCCCTCCCCGCCTACAGCAGCGGAGCTACGCTGCAGTTGTAGCCCAGCCTGCTGCACCCTCCCTCCCCCTGCTACCTCTGAACTGGGAGACATCAGGATGATGCTGCACACCCTGTGCACCCGACTTCTGTCCAGCTAAGACATTACATGTATATGTTATCGTAGTAATCAGTACAATAGTAATATTAGTGAATAAAGTTGTTGTTTTTTTTGTTGTTTTTTATATATGTGTCTCACTATACAGGTTCATTTTGATTGTTTGTTTTTGAAAAAAAGATGCGTTCTTTTCATATAAGCTGTTGGAATATTCAGGGCCTCCACTCCTCAACCTTTGAGGTCAAGAGTGAGAATCCAGAGTTCTTAGAATCTATCAAAGATGTTGATCTAATTATATGAACAGAAACATCACTCACTGTCCTCCAGGTCATAATGAAGTCATGGTGCCTTCTATAAAATCTAAAACATACGCAGGGCAGAACATCGGGGGGGATCTTGGTGTGGTATAAAGGAGATCTTTGCCGTCAGATCTCAGAAGTAAAACAAGGTAAATCACACATTTGGCTAAGGTTAGATCAAAGCCTGGGCATGACTGACAGGAATCTATACGTGTGTGCTATTTATATACCCCCAGTAGATTCTCCTTATTTTCAAGAAGACATTTTTGAAACTCTCCATTCAGAAATAGCCTATTTTCAGGCCCAGGGAAATGTGCTTCTAACTGGAGATCTGAACGGACGAACAGGAATTGAACCTGATGTCATAGACCCACAGGGCAGCCACCATGTATATGGTGAGCCCCCCCTGTTTACCACACCAACCGTCAGCCATCGGAACAGCCTTGACTCTGAAATCAATCAGAATGGCAAAGAGATGGTGCATCTCTGTCGGGCCTTAGGCCTGTACATAGTGAACGGGAGGTTCAGAGGGGACTCTTTAGGGAGGTTCACATACTCCTCAGCTCTAGGGTCTAGTGTAGTAGACTATGCAATCACTGACATGGACCCCTCCACTATCAGTGCATTCACTGTCAGACAGCAATCCCCCTTTTCAGACCACAACCAAATCAATGTGTTCTTTAAACTCTCAGGTCCGATGAGTGACACAGCAAGGGAACCCAGTAAGCTGCATTACATCCTACTTACAGGTGGGCCCCAGACAGTGGAGACAAATTCCCCATGGCCTTGAACTCACCTGATCTGATGAATGACATGTCACTATTTGACCAAAATCAATATGTTCCTACCAAAGATGGTGTAAACATGGCCATTGATTATATCAATATGATATTTCACAAGGCAGCTATTAAAGCTGACCTAATCAAACAAAAGCGGAAGCCTGTTAAAAGGCAAAACGCTGACAAATGGTTTGACCAGGAATGCAAGACCATCAGAAAAGACCTGAGAAAAATAGCAAATGAAAAACATCGGCAACCAAACAACCCAGCCTTACGCATTAGATACAATGACGTTTTAAACAAATATAAATGTACAATAAGGAACAAAAAACTAAATGATACCCACATGAAACTTGAGGATATTGAGAAAGCCATTGATCAAAATCAATTCTGGGATCTGTGGAACAACTTCAACACAAAACAACCACAAGCATTACCCATCCAAAACGGTGACATCTGGAGAGAACATTTAGAAAGTTTGTACAAAGACATACCAATAAATCTAATGAACTCAAATCAATGTATTACAAAAGATAAACTCCAAACATTAGAAGAAACTATTAAAGACAACCAAAAGCCCCTTGAATTCCCAATGACTTGAGAAGAGTTGACCACACAGACACAATCTCTCCGGCCAAGGAAAGCTTGTGGCCCAGACAACATTAAAAACGAAATGCTCAGATGCAGCACCCCAGAGATGCAGGGGACAGTGTTCAAGCTGTTCAGTATCGTATTGCAGTCAGGATGTTCTCATCTGGTGCAAAGGGCTCATTTCCCCCATTCATAAGAGTGGAGACAATCAGACCCTAAGAACTACCGTGGCGTCTGTGTCAGCAGTTGTCTGGGGAAATTATTCTGTAGCATTCTAAATAAAAGAATACAATATTTCCTTAACCAACAATCCATCTTGAGTAAAAATTAAATTGGCTTCCTTCCAAAACACCGCACCACCGACCATGATATCCCCTTCACACTTTAGTTAACAAACATGTACACCAAACACAACATGGTGAGATATTCACTTGTTTCATTGATTTCAAAAAAGCTTTGGACTCTATTTGGCACGAAGGGCTCTATTATAGACTTCTACATTGTGGTATAGGGGGCAAAATGTACGATCTGGTTAAATCAATGTATTTAGGGAATAAGTGTGCTGTTAAAATTGGAGACAAACAAACTGAATTCTTCCCCCAGAGAAGAGGCGTTCGTCAGGGTTGCAATTTAAGTCCCACTTTATTTAATATATAAATGAACTTGCTGTTCAGTTGGATCACTGTGCTGCTCTTGGCCTCTCCCTCCTAGATAGAGAGGTGAAGTGTCTGCTTTATGCTGATGACCTTGTTCTGCTGTCTCCTACTGAACAAGGACTACAACAACAGCTGGACATAGTAGACCAGTACTGTAAGAACTGGGCCCTGGCAGTCAATATGAAAAAAACTAATGTCATGGTTTTCCAAAAACGCCCCAGATGTCAGGAGAACAAATACCAGTTTACCATAAACAATCATATCATCGAACATAGTATGAGTTATACCTACCTCGGTTTAACCATAACAGCATCGGGAAGTTTCAACATGGCAGTGAATGCACTCAAAGAAAAAGCCAGAAGAGCTCTAAATGCAATTAAGAGAACATTTTATAATGTCCAAATTCCAATTAAAATCTGGCTCAAAATCTTTGATAGTGTGATCCAGCCCATTGCGCTGTACGGTAGTGAAGTATGGGGTCCACTCAGTCACCAGAGCTATACCCGCTGGGACAAACATCCAACAGAGTCTTTACATGCAGAATTCTGCAGATACATTTGACGTGTTCAGAGAAAAACACCAACAAATGCATGTAGAGCAGAATGAGGCAGAGACCCACTGATCATTAACACTCAAAAGAGAGCACTAACATTCTTTAACCACCTTAGATCCAGCCCCCGAGACACCCTCCACTCCAAAGCCCTCCAAAGCCAAGAGCTAACCCCAGAGAAGAGTCCCCTATGTCAGCTGGTGCTGAGGCTAGCTGCCCCCTCTCAGAGCCACTCTGACCAGTCTCTCAGCAACACTGCTCTCCAAACACCAATCACAGTCAAACGCATTATAACACAATGCAAAGACAACTATTTACAACATTGGAAAGAAGAAACTAAAAGCCAAAGTAGATTAGAATGTTACCTGGCTCTAAACAGAGAGTATGAGCTGGCAGAATATCTCTCTACTGTCAGAGATAGAAAGCAGAGACAGATCCTAACCAAGTACAGGCTCAGTGACCACAGACTGGCAATCGAAACAGGAAGACTCAAAAGAGAACAGAATATGTGGTCACTGTACGACAGGTGAGACTGAGACAGAGATGCACTTCCTCCTGAAGTGCCAAACATTCAACGAAGTAAGGAGCGTTTACTGGAACAAGTTGAACTCTGTAATCCCAGGTTTCAAGGAGGTTGATGACCTCTCAAGACCAGTGTTGAGACTAACGCGTTACTGTAACGCCGTTATTTTTGGTAGTAACTAGTACTCTAACGCATTACTTTTTAAATTCAGTAACTCAGTTACCGTTACTACATGGTGCGTTACTCCGTTAGTTTTTGTATATAGTCAACAGCCAGGCGAACAGAGATGAGAACTGTACTTAAGTACAGTACTTGAGTAAATGTACTTAGATACTTCCTGTGTCACATGCGGAGACGGGCTGTGGGCGTGTTTGTGTTGTTTACTAACAAGACTATCATGGCGGCGGCGGAGCTCAAGTCTAGTTTCTCCACCTGGAGATATTCTCACTATTTCACTTTTGTCGAGCACAAAGAAAAGAACGTTTTAGTTAAATGTAAATTGTGTCTTGGCGGGTCAAAGATCCTATCTACTGCCCAAACCAGTAATTCAAATCTCTTAAAACATCTGCAAAAACAACATGCTGGGACGAAGCTAGTAGCTAAGACCACAGAGACTCAGCCGACGCCACTCCACCTCCACCTAAGCAACAGCGGCTGGATTTTAACCAAGGGACTGCTGGCCAGGGAAAAGTCGATAAAGCCATTGCACGGTATGTTGTAGAACACATGCAGGCTATTGCTACAGTGGAGTCACCCGCTTTCAGGGAGCTAGTTAGCATGATAGCATGTCCGGGCGGCACACGGCATATGGGACGGAACACTTTTTCCAACTACCTGGAGAAAGAATATACAAAAATGGAAAGCCAGCTAATATCGATGCAATCCAGATTGCATATAATGCATGTCAAGTTGATCAACAGATTGTATTATTCTCAAATGCAATAACAGTACTGAAATTAAGGCTATAAGGGCATTAATGGGAGTCCTTTTTCTAAGTAACTAAAACGTTACTTTTCATTAGTAACGCATTACTTTTTTTTATGTCACTAGTAAACCATAAGCCTACCGGGTGCGCCGCTCACTACCACCTGTTTCCCATATTTATAATGAGCAGGTCTCCCCTCCCCCGGTGCCCAAAGGCTGTCTTTACAAAACAGAGGCATGGTACAACTTATTTGATAAACTTAAATAAGAATTAAAAGGAAGATTTACTATAAACAAAAAAGAACAATAAAATAAATGGATAACTATTAAATAATATAAGCTCCTAGATATGGCTTCATCATACCGGCCCCTAATTGTGATGCAATAGCAAATCAATTACAACAAAACATTCTATGGAGCCAGGTAACACCTTTAAATATTTGAGACTACGCAAAATATCTAATTACATTTTTGTTTATCATACAAAATCTACTAATATGCATATATACATTCAACAAGTCATTTCAATTAGCCCCCACTTAGATCCCCCCCAAAGTTCATGCTGCATCAGTGTCTTTGGTGGTTTCACCACTCACTGTCCCTGAGGCAGGAGACAATAGTCAAAGGGTATCAGTGTAGTTTGAAATGGAGAGGTTTGTGTATGGAAAGATGTAAGAAAGACAGTATGTGTGTGTGCAGGGGATAGGGGTAGGGCATTGGCTAGCTCTTGGCTCAGTTGGCTTCCAGGAGTAGACAGAGCTTACTAATGGGCCTTTGCAGGATGTTAGTCTTG